AAGTCTCGCAGTAGGCGTTAGGGCGTGCAATGTAGAAATTATTTGTTGATTTATGTGTTTGGCTATAACCATGAGAACAAAAAAATGAGCAAAATTGACGGTTTTTTGGAGCCATATGAAAGAATTGTTATTAAACATAATAATCACTTTCTGATTTATGATTTTGGCTATAACTATAATTAGAAAAAAAAAACAAAAGGAGCAAAGTTGATGGTAATCTGAAGTCTGATGAAAGAATTCTTGATAAGCGTATAAATCATTTACTGAAGATGAGTTTGGCTATAACAAAGATAACAAAAAAACATGAGTAAAATAACGATTTTCTGGAGTCTAATGAAAGAGCTTTTGATAAATGTAGAAATCATTTGTTGATTGATGAGTTTTTGATAATTATGTTGAATCCGGATCTCAGTATTACCAATGAGATGCTTTGTTGGTAATTACTTTTTTATTTTTTTTGTCGTCCACAATCAAAACTCTAAAATTTTCGACGGAACGTTAACTGATTCTGATGTTATAAACCGGGTGTCAGGAATCCTGAAAACGACGAAGTACCTATCGTCACATGCAAAGAGAATGCTATAAAATGATGACGTTCGTTGTTTTCTTATTGCCTTGAAATTTTTGTTTTTTGTTTTTTTTTTTATGATTGGCATCTTATTTTTTTACCATTTATAATATTCTTTTATCTCTCATGATTTTACCGTTTATGCACGATAACTTACACCATTTGTATATATATTATTACTATGGTGTTGATAATAGAGTGATATATTTTTATCCTTAAATTTCGTTAGTATATATTTCAGTTTAACTGTTGAGATTTAGTTTTTTTTTTTCTAAACTTAATTTATTAATCTTATGGATAAATTCTATATCGTTTAATCAATATTCGTTTTTGTTAATTTTCTGATTTAGTTTTTAATATATATTTTCCATTGTTATGTTCTTTCCAAATAATCGTTAGGTCTACATATACGTATCGCGCGTTTATACCTCATTGGATTGTTTAGCCGAGTAATCTTTTGATATGGGTTCTACAATGATACCTTTTACCTCTGATTCATGTGATGGTGGTTATTTTCATATTGCGTCTCTTAACCCTAACATGGGTGAGTGGTCTGTTTTGGTGAAGATTTGAATTGTTGGTCTATTTCGCGTGACTCGGGTAGAGAGCTCAATATGATTTTGGGTGACGAGCATGTTAGTATTTTAATAACTTACCTTCTATACATGTTTTCGATATTAAATTGAATTGTTTTTTTCTTTAACATTTCATTTGCAGTTCACCCAAATTTAAGCCGTTGTTCGTGATGAATTAATTGATAATTATTTTTCAAGATTGATAATCGATGAGTGGGTGAGCATTAAATTTTTTGATGTATCCCGGGTTAACAGCATCTTGAGACCAGTACCGCATAGATTCAAGATTGTGTTTCGTTCGGACACTTTAGTGCAAAGTATTAATATGTGCTCCAGTAGAACCTATTTCAATCTAACTGAGTTTGTGAGTATATTGAGTGGTATTGTTAACCCGAATATTTGCGTTGGTAAGCCTAATTTATGAATTTATTTGTGCTTTTGGAGTTTATTTGCGATTCATGTTCTGACTGTATTATTCATGTGTGTGTTTCATAGATGTTATTGGCAAAATTCTCAACGTGAGAGAGTTGGTTTTTGTTCCTTCCGTGGAACATTCTCAAGGAGGATATTTTGAGCTGTGCTTTGGTTTACGTGATACTGAGTAAGTCACTATTCTTTTAAAGATTTAAACCAGAATATAATGTCTTATGACTTCTTCAAATCTTAAAATTAGGTGTATCCATCTAGAGTGTCGTTTAACGGGTGACCTTGCAGTCGAGTTCTATGACTTATGGAAGCATCGTTCACGTAACACAGTGATATGTATTATCAAGTTTGTGAAATTAGAGCTATCACAGGAACATAGGTGGAGATGTACCAATGTTACCGGAAGTACGAGGATTATGTTGAATCCGGATCTCAGTATTACCGACGAGATGCTTTGTTGGTAAGTATTTTTTTTTTCCGTTTACAATCAAAACTCTAAAGTTGGCGACTGGACATTCACTGTTTATGGTGTTCTTAATCGGATGTCAGGAATCCTGAAAATGACCAAGTACCGATCATCACACGGAAGGAGAATGCCATGGAGTGATGATGTTCGTTGATTTCTTATTTTGTTGGTGAATGATTTTAAAAGATGATTTATTATTATTTTTTAGCATTTATAATATTATTGAATTTTTTAAATTTCATCATTTTCCATAATTTTATCACACTAAATCCTAAACAATTTACCATATTTTTCTTACACTACCAAGTAACACCTAAACAATCCCTTATTTCACATGATTTTACCATTTATACAGCATTCTTCCCGCGCATGCGCGCGGGCAATCACCTAGTTCAATTTTATATGAACAAAAAAATATACTTTGAAATTGTTAAAAAGTGTATGTTTGATTTTATTTAAATGTAAAACTTTTTAAATTGTGTTTTCTTTTGCAAATAGCAGGATTTGACATTTGAAACAAAGGAGGATTAACAAAGTGTGTAATATGATGTGTTTAACGACTTACATGAACACACTAGACAAAAACCAAATGAAACTCAACAAGACATAGTCAAAGTTTTTCTTTACTGTGGGAGATTCTATGTTGATGGAACGAATAGATGCACAACCGCAGACCAATAACCAGCCAACTGCAGTTATAAATAGAACCCAGGATTTAGTAAAAGCCATTCATTTCTCAACAACACTGAGGAAGTATAAGTATAACATACCTGAGCCAGGATACCCTTCCCTGTTTGGGCTTCGATCACCAGCCCTATTGTGAGTCCTATGATTGCCCATGCTCCGTTTATAGCCTCTATTTCACGCCTTCTCTGTAAATCAAAGGAGAGAATAACGTTCTGTGCTATTTCTACCAATTTTGAATACAATCTACCATCATTCATCCAGAGGGTTGATTTCCTCACCTGTTGCTTTTCTCTGCCTTTAATCTCTTCCATTTGCTTGCCAGCTAACCGCTTGGCCTCAAGAGGGTCTACCATGATTACCTCTTTTTTTACCTTTGCTTTTCCTGGAGGGGGAGGAGATACCTAGAAGAACGCTCGGCATGTCAGTAAGTTTAAACCAATGGTCTTATCAACCAACAAGAAGATCAACTATGTCATGAGTATGACTTGGAGTCCAGAATGAAAACACTACTAGAATAACAAAGTATGATAGTTATATGGATCGTAGGTTCTTTTGCGTATGGAGAAGCTAAGCTATAACTGCAAAAAAGGATTAATGTTATACATTTGGGTTTGCTAGAACTCGAACTACTCCAACTCTGGCTCTGTTTCCCACCAACTTTACATCTTGGTGTCTTCTTAGTCCCTTTCTGATAAAGCACACAAATTTATCATGAATGGAGGTCAATATACTGGAAGTTATCTATTTATCAAACGCAATGATAACATGCAATCAATGACTCCTGCATTGGATGAAACTAGGAAGCGTTGTCTCACATGGGAAAATAATCAAAAGACTTAATGATAAACTAAGCCTGAATACTTGATTCTCATGATCTTATAACCAACTTAGATAGAGAAATGTCATAAAAGAAGAGAAGAAATAAAGCTGGCAGTGGAACAAACACAGGGTATGTAAGTAAGAGAAGGAAAAAAAAGAAAGAAATACACAATGCAGAATAACAGGAATGCTTATCTCATGAATAGAATAACGACCAATTCGGTACCAGTAAGTAAACTTATTCAAAACGCAAGAGCAAAGAATTCACAACACAAGTGTGATTATGTGAAATGAAACAGATCCAATTGGAACTAATCCGCTTCCAGACTATAAACTGTTCACTGATTGCATTTGGATCCAAAACATAATGAAACAAAGAGGCATTACTCATAGAAAACATCTTAACCCAAGCAATTGAAAGGGTAAAAACCGTGGATCCAACAGAGAATAAATCAAAGTCACAATTAGAGAAATCTCAATTACGCAAAATGGATTATGGTTTTAGAAGTTCAGAGGAATTTAGTGGCGAGTAACAACATAAATCACAAACCCAGAACACCAATTACAAAAATCACGAGGCAGAACACTACATACGCTGTTCATTCCGAAAATCCAAAACTTCGACGGAGAAATGTAATTTGAAAAACAGAGAATTTCAGAGAGAGAGAAACTTACACGAGAGAAGAGGAAGGAGTCGTAAAGCGTACATTGGTTGAAGTAAGCTGAGGATCAGCTCCAGGGAAGAAGAAGATAGGCGGCGCTGAAGAGAAAGACGTCACCACCATTTCTAAGCCTTTCATATTTTCGAAGCGTTCGTTCTTCGTCTCTGTTTTATATTGGTCTAGACTCTAGAGACTGAAAACAAAAGGCCACTCAAAACGTCGTCGTTTTCCTATACCTCCACCACCAACCAAAAAAAGGATCACAGAAACCATCTTAAATCTTATCCAATAAAAGTTCATTAATGGGTGATTTGATTATACACGACAATGGACTAACCAAACCAAGTGTTTTCTATGCAATTAGTAAAATAGAATGTTGGTTTTGTAGACATGACACTTGTGTAGTTACGTTTGCCTAAGGAATAAATTTTAAGACACAGAAGAAAATAAAATAAAAGTGATTTTGTTGAGAGTTATAAAGCTTTTATTGATTGCCAAAAACAGGTATACAAATTGGATATTTGAAAAGATTTACAATTACATGGACATAATTGAGGAGGTAGTAGGGAGGGCGAGCCAGAGGAGGAGCCGTTGTGGCCTGTTGAGGTATCGAGCTTGCCACACTGGCTCAGCAGTCTCTTGCTCGAACCCGCTTTTCATGTATAGCCTCTTTGCTGCTTCATTGTCTACCGTCACATGCACGTACATATCCGTTATGCCTGAACCATATTCACAACTCTTTTTTTTAACTCCAATTGGACACGTCTAAGGAGTTTGATTAAACATTCTTACCCCATTCTCCAGCAACTCTCTTAGACTTGTCAATGAGTTTGTAACCAACTCCATTACGATGCAGCTCTTTTGCAACACAAACGTTGCTTAAGTATGCCCTTGCGAAATCCACACCAATCCCCTATAACATAAAAGAGACTTATTAGGCTTCTCATCTGGTCATTTATCAGATTCAAGTTCAACACTGTTGGCAACATCAAATACCTCTGGTTTTGTTCCAGCAATTTCATCAGGAAGCCAACGACATTGGTTAAGATCAAGGCTTCCCACCACAACTCTGTCTTCTATGCCATCAGAGAACTGAGAAACAGATTGAAGCATATAGCACAAATCCATATCACTGCCGTTTTTTCTAGACCAGGAAGTAACAACGAAATGTAGAGCACGATACATTAATGCAACAAACCCTCTTGAACAGGTAAAAAAAGATGAGTAATTGAATAGACAGACCTTGCATGAAGAGCATAAATCCTCGGAAGAGCTTGATAATTGCGACAATGGAAGGGTAGCATTTATGCAAGCAACCCGCGTAAACCCTTCCCTCTTCCCTGAAGTTCTCTCCTTAAGCGCCTCGAATTCACGCTCTGCCAAGTATCTTCTATGATCCTAATGAAACTTGAACAGCAAACTGTAAACATCAGCATAAGAAACAAGCAATAAACCAAGTACCACCCCTAACGAGAAAACACTTCAAACCAAACAAAACGCTCCAAACTAATCACACAATAACAACGATTTCTACAGCATTAGACGATCTTCAAGACTATAATCACAGCTCCAACATCAATTTTCATTTCATCTATCGATTTACAGTTCACAGAGTTGACTTCATGATACAACAAATCCCTAAAATAATGGTTCTAATTCACCGATTAAGTAAGAAACTGACTTGGATATTGTAAGCAGAAGGATTTAGTTCGTTGAAGGTTCGTACGCGAAGACAAGCTGCAGCCCAAAGCTCATCTTCTGACACCGATTCGGATATGACGAACGTCGACTTGTCGATCGCTGGAGCACAAATGTGTGATGAAGCAGCGACGGGACGGAACCGGAACCTCAAGGAAGGAATCGAAAGAGACGAGCGTGATGATCCATCTGTGTTTGAGTCGCTGAAGATGGCGATAGAGGATGAACTTGGAAGAGACGAACAGAGAAACGCCATTTTTCGCGGACTAATCACATCCTCAGCTTCTAGCTAAGCTTCAAAGCTCGTTTGTATGGGCTTTTCTATTATTGGGCCCAATTGGAGCCCATGGTTTTCAAATTTTATCCGAAAGAAATGGCAGCCTCACAAATACCAAATAAATTTCATAAAAAACATTGTTCTTATCGCAACAATAGACGTTTTATCATCAATCATTTGAATGTACCTAATCAACTACGTATCTTACTTCTTTTTGGTTGATGATATAGAAAAGAATTGGGAGTTGTATTTGTTACCTAATAAGAATTAATAATTTGTGGATTTCAAGTTGTAATGTACACCTAGCTAATTAAGATAGGCAAGTAGTGCTAGTTCATGCATGATGATGTATTGATGTGGTAGTAAAAGATATAAGATTATCCCAAATAAAGTAATAGTTAGAAAATATGGAAGGATTAGAATGAGGATGTGAAGATGATGTGTGTCATGAGTCATTAGTCCTTGTCATTATCCTATGATTCATATCTCTTCTTCTCGTGCATCCAATTCTTATTGGTCAACAAATACCAACAGAAGTATAGAAATCATCTCAGCAATAATAGAAAGAAACCTACTTACGATTGGTGGGAGGGATACATAAGAAGACAAATAGACTGACGATTAACTATAACATGTTCACGCATATGATCTTTTTATCTATTTCCACAATTCTGATCTCTATGAGACTATATGACCTATAAATACACCTGTATTTATTTAAATATAGAATGTACGTCAAAATATTCGTATATACAACGCATTACCATCGCACAGGGCAACCTAGCTAGGTGGCCATTTTTAGTTTCATGAAAAATGTTTGATTTAGTTGATACGTATTTAATCGTATTGTCAATAAAATGGAATATCATACAGTGAAATCAAAGCAACATTTAGGAATAAACTAAACAATAATTGGTAATCAAATCTGAAAATGTCGTAGTCATACGTATAATTTTCTTCTTTGAATTTTTAGTTTTTTTCTTTTGTTAGAGATTTCTTTGAAACAATAATTAAATCTTTCCTTACATATTGTATACAATGAATAGAAAAACATCCAACGAGAGAATAAAAAAATACAAAATATAGATTTCTATATATGTATATTAAATCACAAGACATTATTGAATAAATGTCGGGTTATCTATTATGTGCATGTGATATATATAGTACTTAAGAGTGGGCTACAGACCAACTTTGGCTTTCCAAGAACATGGTTGCATCGAGCAGCTTTGCTAGAGATAAAGTATACTATAACTACTACGTACTTCTCCCTTACTTTGTGATGCGGAAACTCAAAACCGTAATCACTCGTGTTATATTTTTTTGTTGTTTCTTTCAACGCGAATATCTGAAACCAGTTTAGTTTTCGCTGGTCTACAGATCCATTTGCAAGAAATGTCAACAAAATAAGAAGCTCTTATCATTCCCACGAGTTTTAGTTAAGGTATTCAATTATTCCAATATATATTATTTTCCAGTCCACCAATAGATAAGCTTACATATTCTAGAGACTTAATAAAAATGTATAGACTATAGTTGAATATTTTTTTCATCAACGTACGCGGCTAACAGTTTCGTTAACATCCTTCCTATCACATGATTCGCACACACGCTCGACACATGGATTATTTTTGTATTCACATAAACGATATATAATTACAAGCCGAGACGTATATTGGGAGATTCATTTGTAGTGTGACTTTATATCTTAAAAGAAAAAAGGCAGAGAGAGAGAGAGAGAGAGCGATGGAGATATCTAAATACAAGGCGGTGCTAGCGTTAGTGATGTTGCAGTTTACGTCGGCCGGAGTTGCACTCTTCACGAAAGCTGCTTTCATGGAAGGACTCAATCCCACCGTCTTCGTTGTTTACCGTCAAGCCATCGCCACTCTCTTCATCTGCCCCATCTCTTTCATTTCCGCTTGGTAACTTCAGTTTTTGGACCATTCATATATTATATATCACATGATTATTGATGAACAACACTCGTTTCCATGTGAATGGTAAATACAGGAGGAAAGAAAACAAACCATCTCTGGGAGTAAGAGGCTTTTGGTGGGTGGCTTTGACGGCTTTTATTGGTGTGACTGTGAATCAGAACGCTTATTTCAAAGGGATTGACTTGTCTTCTTCATCCATGGCTTGTGCCATGACTAATCTTATTCCTGCCGTCACCTTCATTATCTCCATCATTGTTGGGTCTGTGTTATCATCATACATATTTATATCTAAGATTCTATATTTATGGATTGGTTACTTATTGATATTGGATGTTTGTTTCAGGTTCGAGAGTATAAAGAGGAAAAGTATGAAAAGTGTTGCAAAGGTAATAGGAACAGGTGTGTGTGTGGGAGGAGCCATGGCTATGACTTTTCTCAGAGGTCCAAAATTGCTCCATGCGTTGCTCAACCAAGACAACACAGCTTGGTTACTCGGCTGTTTCTTTCTTCTCATTAGCACATTCGCTTGGTCCCTTTGGTTGATCCTTCAGGTTCCTATTGCATCTCATTGTCCTGATCACTTGTACACTTCTGCCTGCACATGTTTCATGGCTACCATAGCCTCTTTCTTCATGGCTCTCGCCTTAGGAAACACTCATTTACCGTCATGGAAACTTGATTCCTCCTTGAAGCTCTCCTGTTGCATATACTCTGGATTTCAATTGGCGATATCTTTCTTTCTACAAGCTTGGGTCGTGTCACAGAAAGGACCTCTTTTCTCTGCCCTATTTAATCCTCTTTCTGCAGTCATCGTCACTTTCTTCGGCGCTCTGTATCTAAAAGAACAGACTTACCTCGGGAGGTTTGCCATTTTCGTACTGTCCTCTCTTCGTTCTGTAGCTCGATTCACATTTTTATAATCTGTTTTGCTCGTATTTCCAGCTTGCTAGGCGCTTTGGCTATCATCCTTGGTCTCTATATTGTTCTCTGGGGCAAATCCGAAGACTATCAAGAAGAATCAACAGACCTGAAATTGGAAAATGAATACACCACTTCCTCCCAATCCGACATTGTTTCCATTATGATTGGTGATAAGGCCTTTCGTAGTTCGGAGCTATTAGAACCGCTTCTCATGTGAGTTATATTGAAGTTAGTTCTAAATGGTGTAAGGGAAATTTTTTGACAATGGACAATTTAAGAATATGAAAATGATAGTAATGCAAATTGAAATGGAACTTCTTTTACGAATCTCAGTCATCTCAATAGATGTATAAGCTACTCCACACACAAGAGTCGAAATAGAAGCACAAGCAAGTGTTTTTGTAACTCATTTAGTCATATGTTGCAAATTGAAGAGAGAAAATACATGGAAATGCAATCTCACACACACAAGACAAGCGATCAACAAGTTTTCTCAAATGCTGCATTTACTTACTCGATGATGGCACTTGAGATATCATTCGCTTGGTCTCAGTCTTGATTTGAAGGGCATCTCTGCTATTTCAAACGCATAAAGATCTAATACCAGCTGCGTTTCCTGTTGTTCCTGAACGCGCAACAACCAACAGAGTAGACGATAATGAGAAATATGAGGAAGACAATATTGACCTGAGCCACTTTTTTCCATGAGTTCTTGATGTTGTCGAGCAGACCAGCCTTGCAGGCATCACAGTCGTAGCATAGAGTTCCTGGTTTGTTGTCCCAGACATTACAGTCCTCGTTTTTGTATGGACCAGCGGTCTTTGTCCAAGTAGTCGGGTTCACATAGGTGAAGTTACAGTCATTGGACGGCTTACAGCAACCAGACTACACAAAAAGTAAAAGCAAAAAAAAGTGGTTAGTAATAAACATTGTCTCAAGAGATACAAATCCATCTCCATTTGGAAAAGCAGCTTTTGATACTCATCTCTAAAGACTAAATCTTCCTAAAAGGCTTTGTGTGTTTGATTCCATGGGAGAAAAAAGTAAGCTTTTTTGTTCATAAAACAAAAAGCGCTTTTTGAGGAAAAAGCATAGTTGAATCCATAAATCTCATCAAAAAGCTAGATTCACTTTTAAAACCCGATCTCAAATTCTCAATCACAGATAAACAAAATCCGAATCGGATAAAAATTGTGAACCTGAAGAGCATTGAGATTAGCCTTGTAGAATTCTTCAACGTTAATGCTGGAATAACGAGTGCGATAAGTGGAGCAAACGTCTGAGTACATCAAACAACTCCTGATCCGTTCCCAATTCTTAGCATTGGTGACACGTTTCTGCAGCCAATTTGAGTAATCGCCGACATGATACTCTTTATACCCTCGATCTGATATAACCTCGCCGGCGCCGCGGTTAGTGACGGCGAATGCGAAGATTGTGAAGCTGAAGCCAAGGAGAATGAGAAGGAACATAGCGAAGAGGTAAAGCCAGAGAAGGCAAGAGACACGGCAACAAGCACCGACGAGTCCGGCGATTGAGACGAACATGAGGAAGATTCCGAGTACGACGATTGGTTTGTCGAGGAAACGTTCGCATTCGGTGGCTGCATTTTTGCCGAGCCAGATCCCGGCGGAGAGAATTGGGATTGAGAGAAGGAAAGTGAAGAAATTGAGGATTCCGAGGAGATTGTTGCTACACTGAACCATTTTCTCCGGCGGAAATAAAAAAGGGATATTTTTTTTATCTCCGATTTCAGATCTTAAGCAAAAAAAAATGGGAACTTTGTCCGTTACGAAATCTGTTGGGAACTAAACGGTTCTAATTGATTTTTCAAGACAGCTAGACAAGAAAAAGTTAAAATCTTTAATACTAAGGAAAGCTTTTGTGTATTTATTGTTTACACCCTCAAGTTGTTGGAAGTGATAAAATTGTCTCGACAATTAAAATTTTGACATGAAATCCAAAGAATGTCTGATTCCAATTTATTTAATTGATCATCAAAGGAAAAACGCTTAACGAAAGACAAAGAGTTAGATTTCATGATCATCCACACGACCTTTTTGGTCTCAAACTTAAAATGATAAAAGAGAGATTCTTGTCTGAATCAAAGAGGGCCAGGGAATGTTCCGGTCTCCCTCTGCTCATTCCACTTGTCAACCTGAGAGAAGATAATCACATACCTTGTCAAGAATGTGGGTAGCTAGAGAAAGATCATGATAATAAGAAGTGAAGCAAAATCATGAAAGTACAAACCCATTCTCCAGGGCAGAGAGCGCGGTAGTACTTGGCGAACCTCTCGCATTCATTTGAATCCTCACCTTTTGCAGTTGTGCACCTGCAGATATAGTTTTGTTGTTGTTGAAGTTAGGGAATGAATTGAAGAGTCACTAACTCAATCACACAAAAGTACCTGTGGAACTCAATGTAACGGGTGAAGCAGTGCCTCGTTTGGTTAGTTGTTGGAAACCGGAAATCAGCAGGAGCAGTTTTGAGTTCAATCTAAGTCAATAGAAAACACCAAAACAAACAGGTTTAGACACCGAGTTACATCATATAGTGAGTCACGAAGATGAAACCAACTATACTAACAATGTCTTACAGAATTCAAAGATCCATCTTTTCTTCTCTTTCAGTTCCTAAATCTACTAAAAATGCCAAAATGGTTTGAAAGAGAACTCTATTATACAATTCCGATGCAATCAGATGTCTTCGAGAACTCAAAAGCTTCATCTTCCATTTCCATTCAATTCCTAATCTAACTCTTATACCACAATTAAACAAACCACTCAAGCAACAAAAGACCACGCCTTTGAGAAAACGATTTGACAGAAAATCTTCATTCCTCTTATACAAAATGTTTTTCTTCTCTATCCAAACACTCTATCAGATCATCAATAGAGGATGAGTGAAAAAGCCAGAGTAACGAATCAGATCTCGAATATAAAAGTCGAATTTTCAAAACAGAATTCTGATTCTTCTATGTCCTCATTAACAAACTACAATCTCCGGCGGAAAAAACAGAGCTAAATCGTGTTTATAATAAATACATAAGAAAAAGATGAAAGATTACCTCGTCCTCCATGGCTGATCTGAGAACGAACGATGAGAATGTTTGGTTTGGTGGAGAGAGAGAGAGAGGAGAAGCAGTCGATTTAAAATGAAGAAGTTTGCAAATCGCCAACTTTTCTCTCCGGTGACGACGACTAGAAGAAGAAGAAGCCAATGAGGCCGCTTGGGCTTCCATACTAATGGGCCTAAAATCACTTTACAATTCAAACCGATTGAATTGGTTAATATCGGTTTAGTGGAACAATTCGGTTTAGTCAGTCCACATTTTTGGGTTGTTGAATCTTTCTTGAGTTCAGAGAGTTCGTGCTCGAGCAGGTGAGGAGTGAGGGGGGTGCATCGCTGCGACTCTTCTTCTTCTTCGCTGAATCCGTCATCCTCCGATCATCTTGGAGTTTTCCGATTACCTCTCTCTCTCTCTCTCTCATTCTCATTCTCATCATGCGTTTGCTTCTTCTCTCCCTTCGCCGTGTAACTCCACTCTCGAGGCATCAACGATACGCTTTCGCTCCTATTCATAATTGTTTGATCTCAATCAATCCCAGCTCGCCTTCTTCATCCCTTGTTTTCTCGGTTTCTTCCTTCTGTTCGTCTCCACATTCCAATGGAGATGGAAAGATTGCAGGGCCGTTAGTGGAGTATGAACGCAGAATCGTAGCTGGAGAGTTATTGGATGGAGATTTATGTCAGGTACTTTCCTTTTCTTTTTTTTTTTTTTTTGTTTCCTTCTCTAGTGTGAATTGATTTCTGAAGTTTTTTTTTTTTTTTTTTTTTGTTGCAGCTAGGTACTTTAAGAGAACTTCAGAGACTCTACGACGAGCTTGTTCAATCTGCTGATGCTTGTCGATTGGATCGTTATTCTGCATCTGCAAAATCCACTAGGACTAATTGGTTCTGGAACAAATTTGTGTCTCACTCTTCTGTCTCTCCTGTCAAAGGCTTATACTTGTATGGAGGAGTAGGAACTGGAAAGACAATGCTCATGGACTTGTTTTTTCATCAATTGTTAGTATGAGATCACAATTCATGTAATTTTTACATATTTGTTGTGGATTCATCTGATCCTGTTTTAACTGAGTTAGGCCAGGTAGCTGGAGAACACAAAGGATTCACTTTCACAATTTCATGTTGAGTGTTCATAGCCGCCTGCAAGTAAATTCCCAGTTCCAAGCTTCATTTTTTAAGCTGAGGATTGCAATAACCATTGGACTCAACTTTTTTGCATTTTAATGTCGTATGCAGAAGCACAAGGGTCTTGAAGATCCACTTGAAGTTGTTGGCCTGGAAATAGCCGACGAGGCTATATTACTATGCTTAGATGAGTTCATGGTATGTGAATGTGACGCTCATCTTTACTGTTTAATATCTTGTTCAGGGAAAACTCACGTTGCTTTATTGCTTTATCATGTAAAGGTCAATGATGTAGCTGATGCACTGATACTAAACCGTCTTTTTAGACACTTGTTTAACAATGGCATTGTAAGTAATCTATAAAACCTTTGTCTTTCTCAGCTCTTCTAGTCTACTGGACCTAAACCTATAGTTATTTAAAAGTTTTTACATGTCGGTAATTGGAGAAAAGTGTAGATTCTTGTTGCTACATCAAACCGTGCTCCAGATAATCTCTATGAAGGTGGTTTACAGAGGGACTTATTCCTTCCGTTTATTTCCACGCTAAAGGTTACAAATACAAATACCTGTTACTATCAACGCCCTTTCATGTGATCCATTATGCTTCGTAACTGATACTGAGAAGCAATTGTTGTAGGAAAGATGTGTGGTTCGTGAGATTGGCTCATCGGTGGACTATCGGAAATTGACCTCTGTACGTGATTTCACGTCTCTCAGTAACTGTCTTAGTTTTGTTGCAACGTGATTACAATTTTATAGCTATGCACTCTTGGGTGCAGGCTGAAGAGGGATTTTACTTCATTGGGAAGGATATCTCTGGCCTTCTTAAACAGAAGTTTCAGCTATTGGTTGGCGATCAACCAGCCGGTCCTCAAGTGGTTGAAGTAGTAATGGGAAGGAAATTGCAGGTTTTTTTGCTTCTTCTTTCACAGATGCATCAATTTGTAGTTCACGATTTTCTGCTGAAGGTTGCTTTTGTTGACTGATTAGGCCGAAGACCTTCAGATACCATTCCATTAAATAGCTTATTTGAAATCCCATGATCTTTTTTTCTAAATGTATTGTTTGTTGTACGCCAGGTTCCTCTGGCTGCGGATGGATGTGCCTACTTTCTTTTTGAAGAGCTGTGTGATAGACCCCTAGGTGCAGCCGATTATCTCGGATTATTCAGTAAGTCTAATCTCCCAGTGCCATCATACCTTGTCATTGCACTTGAATTCTTACATGCTGCTTAGTCTTGAGATGCAAATTTCATTGCAGAGAAATTTCATACTTTGGCTCTGGAAGGTGTACCCATCTTCGGGCTTCACAATAGAACCGCAGCTTACCGTTTTGTGACCCTGGTTGATGTATATCTCGCTTTATCTCGCTTTATCTCTCTTTTCTACATTCAATCTCTTTTTAAAAATTTGCTTTCTCAACTGTTGAGATTACTTACAGGTAATGTATGAGACCAAGGCCAGGCTTCTATGCACGGCAGAAGGTGGCCCTATAGAACTGCTGGAGAGAATAGTGACAATCTCTGATGCGCAGCAAATAGCACCTAGAACATCTTCAAGATCAAGGAAGAGTGATGATCCCGACCTTTGTGTGGACAACGAGCTTGGTTTTGCTAAAGACCGCACCATTAGCAGGTACAATCGAGCAACTGTTGCTTTTTTCTGATTCATAGTCTGGACTGATGATCTCCAATGCGTGCCACAGATTAACGGAGATGAACAGCAAAGAATACTTGGAACAACATTCCAGAATGTTGCAGGAGAAGCAGCCTTCTTCTTAGTATTATTACAATGTGATTAGAGATGCTGTTAAACCTGTTGGAACCATTGTTACAGAACAAAAGGTCTCATAATGTATTTATTCTCTGTGTTTGAGCACAGACCCATATTTTTCTTGCAAGTTGATCATGTTTTCATCAGTTACGGAACCGAGATACTGTGCTCTCAAATACCAGGAATGAACATTCAGGGTTTTCTCTCTCTTTTTGGGAAGCCATTTAGCCATGAACAAAAAAGTAAAAACAAAGGGGCAAATCTTTATTAAGGAGTTGAATATTTATAGTTTTCAGCTGTGGAAACTAAAAACTGAAAGCAAAAGAAAAGTTGTTAAAGCAGGAGTGACGAGTCTTGGTCCTGCGCTACAACACAAAACATTCACATGTAAAAATGCTTTTTTCGATTATGATGATTGTGTACCTTCAACCTCATCGATGGAGCCAAAATGTCTCCCCATTCCTTTAGCCTCAATGTTAATACTTCAGTGAAAGACAGTTGCTTCTTCAACTTGTAACTTCAATTTGGTCAATTTCATTATCGCTGTAATCTCCCCAGCACTTGCCTCCCTGTCGTTCTCCATTTTTCTCATCAGAGGTCTCATGTGATGTAGTTTCCACTTCACCTACTGTCGAATGTCCATTTTCAGGTGTATCTGAAGTTTCTTGTACAACGGCTTCTTCATCCTCTCCAGCTTTTTTCTCGTTGTTGCTTTCTTCTTCGCTTCCGCTCTTCTCCTCAGAGCTTCCAGAACCAGGTAATTCCTCTGAAACAAGTCCATCCTGAGGCTGTGTAACGGACATGTCACACGGATATCCACCTGCTACTGGTGACAGTGGGTACACATTCTGTGTTATTTCTGCCCCATTTGGGGATGCTAAATAGCCATTTGGTGACACTGGATACCCATTAGAAACCCAAGGTTGACTCGGTATGAACTCAGCCGCATGGGGGTTCATTATTCTTGGGCCATTGAATTGATTAGCCTCGCCATTGGACTCGGTGCTATTGGGGAAGCTTGGTTTGTTACGCGGAACCCTGTTCCCAGATCGGTTGTAACCACCACCCGAGAGTCTAGGCCCATAAGGAACTCGAGCTGTTACAGACTGATGAGGAGTAGATCTGCGGACATGGTTAACAGGAAGCATTGGTGGCATATTCAATGGAGAGGGGAGGATTCCTCCGTGGTCTTTGAATCCTGGAACTGCAATTGATCCAAATATTGGAATGGTGGTTGGGGTATACGGCGGTGCAGAAGCAGAGAGCTTCTTGCTCATCTCTTTTTGAGCCTCGCACGCGTCTTGCTTTTCTCCATCTGCAGCTATTGATGACTTTGGGCTTGAGTCTCCATTGGCCAGATTTTCTGTTTCGCCATCTACTGGTTTCAGTTCAGCATCAGATAAATCCTTTTGTAGCTTCACTCCAATAACTGATTCACTGCCATTTGAATCATTTGCTGTTAGTGACTTATTCAAGAGACATGTATTTGAATCCTCAGCCATTTGTGCACTCTCAGATTTTCCTTGTCTTGCATTTGATACGGCTGTCTCAGTTGGAAATGCTTCTTCAGCTGCCTTCTCGGCCTCCACATTCTTGATTTCCTTTGGAGAACTAGTCAACTCCGATCCACCAACAACCACCCTTCCTCGTTCATCGCTATCAGTGCTTTCGGCTTCCATTTCTGTAGCCACATGCTTATTCTCGCTCTCAGCATCCTGAGCATTAACTTGTTCAGGACCATCTACTGCAATTTTTGCCGCTTCCAAAATCTCTGGGGCCTTCGTTTCTTCTGGCAACTGCTCTGCAACTATTTTGACAATCGTTCCAGGGGGTGCCAGTGCAACCTCCTTATAGGAAAACAGTTTTCCAGCTTTGACACTCACAGGAGTGACAGGACTCACCATCGGAGTTAGCTTGTTGATCTGTTCAGTGCAAGCTGGGCTTGCCGGGGCTGATTTATCGTTGACTGGTCTTTCTCCCACTATACTGGAATTGTTTTGCTTTCTGTTCAATGGGCTCTTTACAAACATCTTCGAGGCTGGGGAAGAAGTGGAACCAACAACAGAAATTGAAAGCTCATTAGAACTAGTCCTTGGGGATGTGAAATTGGTGGATTTTCCTCTGCTTCTTGATGGCTGCTGGGTCACGTTCATGAAGTTGGTGTTCAGCTTTGCCAGGCTGGGCCGTGTTCTACGCCCAGAAGAATAACGATTTTTCGGAACAGCTTCTTGCCATCCTTCGTCAGAATCATCATCTTCTTGGACAATGGCTTCAGGCTTAACCAGCGTCAGATGTTCTTGAGGTTCCAAATCAAAGTTCTCAACCTTTTTCTCTTCAGATTTTGCTTCGGATTTGTTCTCTTTATCACTTGAACTCTCCCCAGTGAGATGAGCCGGATTCAAAATTTCATCATCTTTCTGATTTTCTTCTGACACTGGTCCTGGACTTTGTCCTGGTTTTCCCTTGACCTGAATGAACATTTCAAGCAAAATATCTGTCACGCCTTATTAATGAGAGCAGTTCAATAAAAACATGGATTAATTCAGCGAAAGCAAATTTAACCTTCGGGCGAGCTTTCCTTTGAGCGTCCCTTGCTTTAATACCAGAATCCGGGGTTATATAATCCAACAGGTCTGATACACTGTTATTGGGAAGAAAGCTCATGGGTTATATCACTCAGGACAAGATTTACGCAAGATAGAAATTTGTACTAGTGGTCTAGGCAAATGGTCTGCATTTAAATTTTCATTTATGGTAGTCAGTTCTATTAATATCTTTTGGTACTCATGTACATTTTGTAAACAGTGCTATAAAATGGAATGCAGGAGTATAAAATATATATGTAAAAGACAAATGTTTTAATACCTGAGATGGCCTTTGCTGGATATAGAGGCGTCTGGCTTGGGAGTACCATTTCGTGCAGCTTCTTGCTGTTCCAGAGCTTTAGACTCGAAATATTCAAGCCACGCAGCCGCATCCTAACATAGTTCTAGAGCGTAAGAAACACTTTTTAACTGAAACTCCCTGTAAATCGTAACTAATTAAGCACCTGTGTCCGAAGATCCTCAGGGCCTAGCTTTGCTTGTAGAATCTGCAGAGTGGTCTGCTCGTGTTGAACGCTCAAGGAGTATGCGTCCATCAGAGAGAGAGCAATAGCAATGGCATGGTAGCTTGCAGCAGTCTGAAAAGAAACATAACAGTAGCAAATTCATGTTTTAGCGCATCATTTAGCTCCCCAATAAAATTTACTAGTTAATTTATTAAGCCCAAGCCTCCATGGTATGGAAATTCACAGTCTTAAGAAATTGACAGGTTGTGGATTTAACTAATAACTTTTATATGGTTTGAGTTCAACCAACTATTTTTACTTATTTAGTTTTCTTTTTCCGTGGTTCGGATATTACAGAAGATTTAAGTTTATGGATGTCGGTTTGACAGAGGCCATAAAAATGAAGCCAAGCAATGCCCTTGCTTAAGAAAACCAACCTGGATATGATCAGCTCCAAGTAGTCTCTGGTTACATTTCAAAGCTTCATGAAGGTATCTTAAAGCGACATGGGCATTCTTCATACCTTCTTCCATCATTGCTACGTTAATATAAGTGGCAGCCGTATTTGGATGTGATGGTCCACATGTTAGATGCAAAAGGTACAATGCACGGTTGACGTACCTACAACAAGAACAACATATTAGTAAATCAAAACAATTAAATTTGTAGTCTTTGGCTTTGGCAAATGCAGAGAGCATACTTCAAAGCTAACTCTGTGTGCTGAAGACGATAATAGAAGACGGCCAGGTCGCCATAGCTTTTCATAGTGTCTGGGTGATCAAGTCCAAGTTCCCTTTCATTTATGTCGAGTGCTTTCTGCTGATAAATGGTAGCCTGAAAAACCAAAACTGGTTAGTGCTGCAGAAATATTCTTCTGCAAAGGAAGTAGGTGAATTGAACGATGCCTTGGAGATGTCCAAATTTCTTTCAAAGAAAATACCTGGTTAAAATCCCCAGTATGGTAAAGCACAACCGCGAGAAGACTATAAGCTCCAGCGGTCATTCGATGATATGGGCCGCACACTGCTACAAGCTTCGCCAATGCCTATGGAGTTGATCCCAGAATATCAGCATAGTTAGACCGTTTGAACAAAAATGAGTTTAAGGGTTATTAATTCTCTGAATGAAAAAATCGTCCTTGCTCATGAAAACAAAATCAAAGGTTCAATACTTGCATGGTGCTAAAAATCCCTAATCAGTTAGTTTATGCTAGTTCAGGAAAAAAAGAATTATAACATGGGGAAACTTAGAAAATGACTACAATGTTCCATTGCTTTCTGTTCTTTCAAAAAAGAAAGGATATATAATGGGTGGCAACAGAGGGAGGCAAGCAGAGAATTGGTATTCTGGATAATCGGATTTTAGGAAAGAAGGGAAAAATGTATCTAGACTACTCAAGAGAAAGCCTTCGTTACATTGTAATATATAAAAAGAGGAGTGAAAAAGATACCAATTATACCTTGGTGCCATAATTGACAGCATCCTCCAGTTTTCCTTTATCTAAGGAGGTTTTGGATGATTCCAACAAAGTACGTCCATCAGCAGATGAACATGCTACGTGCTGCACACAAGAGTTGTGTTCTTAAGAAACTGAAACAGTTCACTTTTTCATTATAGCTGATTATTACAGTAAGATAATTATGCATGGTACCTTATACACAGGAACCATACTGATAATATCAAACTTCTTAAAAGGATATGAAGTGTCCATCTCATAGTCTTTAGGAACAAGCTCCAGTCCAACCTGAACCGATGAGTGAAGCAACATATGAGAATCTCAGGTTAGATTGTCATCATTGAAAACAAATCTGACAGACAGTTGCAAACCTTGTGTGACAGTCCTCTAAGAATGGCGAATGTTCTCAGTTCCTGGCAGCCTTCATGCTTCCAATCCCACCCAAACCTCTTGGAAATGAACGTTTCCACCCAGGTCCACTTAATCTTTTCATCGTATACACTATCAGTGTCAGACGGTGTTCCCAATAGGACATTTAAGCATGTTGCTATTGAGGTGGCCACATCAGCGGTGTTTTCAACAGCTGCAACAACAGCCTGCAGTATATGCTTGTACGCCCGAACAACCATT